AGTAGAGACGGGGTTTCACCATGTTGACCAGGATGGTCTCGATCTCTTGACCTCGTGATCCACCCGCCTCAGCCTCCCAAAGTGCTGGGATTACAGGCTTGAGCCACCACGCCCGGCAGGATGATTTGTTCTAATGCTTCTTGTTGGCAGCTGCCACCTGTCCGGCGATTCTGTCCAGATCTCTCTGTCCCTGAGGTGTCAGTTTGTAGCCCCCATCTTGGTCCTTTTCCACCATTCGCAGCCCCTCCAGGGCTTGGAGGACCCGGTGGGCCACACTCTTGGAGCCTTGGCTGAAGTGGCTGGGCATGACGCCATTTCTCTGATGTCCCCCATAGATCTTGGTCATGGAGCCAACCCCAGCACCACCCCGGAGGTATAGGTGCTGCGCTGTGGAAGCAGCTCGCGTGTAGAACCAGTTCTCACTGTAGGGAGCAAGCTCTTTGTGCTTAGCCAGCTTGACGGTGTCCACCCATTCAGGGACTTTCAGCTTCCCGGCCTTTTTAGAAAGGCTGCCAGAGCTCTGACAAACTCCTGCTGGTTCATGTCTTTTACAGTAACTCCAGGCATTGTGCAGCCTCCGCGCTGCCAGCCAGGGGAAAGCACAAGAATCTCTTGAACCCAGGAGTCAGAGGTTGCAGTGAGCCAAGATTGTGCCACTGTACTCCAGTCTGGGTGATAGAATGAGACTCCATCTAAAAACAAAACAAAAAGAGTCACTGAATGTCAGCTTGTATCTTCATTGATACTACTAAGTTTTCTCATTTGGTGAAGATAGTGTATCAGAACTCTCTACTGTAAGGGTACCTGCATCCTCTCTTAATTAAACATCATAAGTAGGGTGATAAGCAGGAAGTGAATAGTCAGTTGAGTCTTTCTGGTTTTTACTTCCCTTTCATTAAGAAAATATTGAGATAAGTGGATTTGGGATAGGTTTAATATGTCACAGTAGATAATTTGTAGCCGTGCGAATTGTTTTACCTTCAGAGTTTCTTTTTTTTTTTTTTTGAGATGGAGTTTCACTTTTTTTACCCAGGCTGGAGTGCAATGGCACGATCTCGGCTCACCGCAACCTCTGCCTCCTGGGTTC